TGCTAATACTTTATTAAGTATTTTTGCATCTATTTTTATGAGAAACATTGGTCTGTAGTTTTCTTGTAATGTCTGAGTTTGGTTTTAGGGTGATGCTGGTCTCATGGGATAGGTTAGGAAATATTCCCTCTGCTTCCATCCTTTGAAAGAGATTGTAGAGAATTGGTGTAATTTTCTCCTTAAATGTTTGGTAAAATTTACCAGTGAACCCATTTGTGCCAGGTGCTTTTTCTTTTGAAATATTATTAATTATTCATTTAATATCCTAGATACAGGCCTGTATTCAGATTGTTTGTTTCTTTTTGTTTGAGTTTTGGCAAATTGTGTCTTTCAAGGAACCTGTCCATTTTATTAAGGTTATCCAATTTTTGGGCGTAGAGTTGTTCATAGTATGTCTTTATTATCCTTGTGATGTCCATGGGATCTGTAAGGATCTGTCCCCACCGTCATTAGGGATATTAGTGATTTGTGTCTTCTCTTTTTCTGATTTAGACTTACTAGAGTCTTATTAGGTTGTTTTCTTTGTTGTTGTTGTGTGTGTGTTTTGTTTGTTTTTTCAGATAACCTGCTTTTGGTTTCTTTTCCTAGTTTCCTAAAGGCTAATAACTTTTAATCATTTTTATTTTCCTGGAACATGGGTTCTTTTATATTAAAAACCAGTGTTTCATGGTTGCTATGGTGATTAATAATTTTAACTTTTATATTTTAATGTCCTCTATATATTCACAAAATATTTTTTCAAATGCCTTTCTTATTTAATCACTAGAGGCCCGGTGCACAAAAATTTGTGCACTCGGGGGGAGGGGGAATGCCTCAGCCTGGCCTGTGCCCTCTCACAGTCTGGGACCCCTCGGGAGATAACGACCTGCTGGCTTAGGCCTGCTCCTGGGTGGTAGAGGGCAGGCCCAATCCCTAGGTGCAGCCCCTGGTTGGGCTCAGAGCAGGGCTGATTGGGGAGTTGGGACGCCGCCCCCTGTCATGCACAGAGCAGGGCGGATCAGGAGGTTGGGATGCCACCCGCTGTCATGCTCAGGGTAGGGCTGATGGGGGGGTGGGGCACCACC